CTCACCCACCTGTCTTGCTTTGTTTCTACAAGAGCCCTCCAACTCTGATGGGTTCAGGGGTTTTCTAAACGGCCTTTTCCCTCCTCCATAATAAAGGACCGTGTACTGGACATATTAAACCAGGACTCACCCCTCATCTCCTATTCTTCCCCTCCAAGGTCAGGTCGCCCCACATCCCTACGATGACACAGATCTGTCCTCCATGAGTCCCAGCACAAGGGGAGCATCCGACAGGCTCCATCAGGAGGGTAAATCAGAGCACCCTTTCCCTGTGTGACCGGCCAAGCCAAACCTAAGCCCTCTGCCTCATTCCTCCCTTCCAGCCTTGGGAGCTCCAGACAGATCCTCTTCAACTTCTCGGGAGAAGATATGGACTGGGACTCGGAGCTCTTTGCGCTGGAGCCCCCGGCGTCCCCCGGGGAGGACCAGTATGAGACGGAGAACCCCCGAGGGCAGTGGCTGCTTCGGGAGCGACTCTGGGAGCGGACGGTGCCCTGACGGCCTCAGCTTGGCAGCCTGGCTCAGGCTGGGTCCCCCAGAAGGAGTCTGCTTTCAGCGAAGCAGCAGGTGTGTGATAGAGTTAAAGATGGGTCAAGTCAGGTCCTTGAACACGCAGTCTGCCCATGCCCAGTCAGTGCCAAAGACACCTGCACGGCCCTCAGTACGGCACTTGGCAGGGCTCTGCTTTCTCTGTGTGGGCAGGTGGGCTGGTCGTTACCACCCTACTGGTCTTTAAGAACAGAAGGAACGGAAAGTCCAGGCTCACTCCTGGCCTCCCCTGGTACAGGGGAACATCCCGCTTGGTACTGGAAACCAAGAAACGCACCCACCCACTCATCTCTGGGCCAAAGTTTTCAAAGAGAGGCGACCCCTCTTCTCCACGGGGCTCAGAAACCCTCTGGTCACCCACTGAGCTTGCTTCTTCTCTGCAGAATGCCGTCTGGGAAGCAACTTTTAAAATTTTTTCCACCTTCTTTTCACAGTGTGTTCTGGAAATTTCTGCTGGATTAGGCTGAAGATGAGGCCAGTGTCCTGGCAGCGGGAGGGGGGACGTGGTGTCTGAGGGCCCTGGCTGGGGACCACGCTGTCTCCCCCAGCCCCAAAGCTCAGCTCGGCTTCTCACAGCCTGGGGAAGGAGGAAGATGAAATGATACTTCGTTTCTAATTCTCAGGCCCCAAATCCTAATAGATACTCACCCAGCCTGTGGATGAAAGCTAGGGCCCTCCCTTCCCCAAATTAGGAGGGCAATCAGAACCTTCTGGAGTAGAAAGGATTTTGACTTCTGTAACTGTCCAAATTACCGGGACTCCCCTGGTGGTCCAGGAGTTCAAATTCCATGCTTCCACTGCAGGGGGCTGGGTTCCATCCCTGGTTGGGGAACTAGGATCCCATGTGCTGCGTGGTGTGGCCAATAAATAAAGAAAAAACTTCTCTTAAGAAATACAGTTTTTAAAAAGAATTACATATGTAGCATATTCTTTGCATGTCTCCTATACTTTTTTGCACATTTTGCATACGGTTTGACCACCTCAAGTTCAAGAACCACTGGTTTGGAGACTACACTGAGCTTTGTCCAGCCTCACCTATTTCTTCTGGCATTTTCTTGTTAAAAAAAAAGAAGTCACCCAGGGTGGGGGAGAGGTGCAGCGCTGTTAATGGCGATAATAGAGGAAAACGGACTAGGAAAAATCAATAATTGACATTAAGCCAAGGTTGCTTTAGGCTAAGGGTCCCTCTGTGAGCTGAATAAAGCTTCCCTTCTCCCAGGCCCATGCGATGATATTCTTATTTTCAGGTTTTATTAGAAAGAAGCTTTTATTTATGTTAATTTGACTCAGAATCTAAGTATTCGTAACTTCTGTGAGAAAGAAAAAAAAACCCTAATAGTTATCTGCCATTCTTCAATGTTTTTTCTAGTTTAAATAAAAATGTTTAAAAAGTTCTCAGAAAAAAAAATAATAAAAAGTTCTCAGGTGATGATGATTCTGCTGTTCCAGGGTCCATATTTTGAGAATTGATGACTTAGAGGCTTGAGTGTTAAAGATGAAAACCTGCGGCGGGGTGAGGGCAAGAAATTTTATATCAACACATTTTCAGAACGAAAATGTATAGCAAATGTTTTATTACTTGTGTTTCTTATTCTTTGAGTGCCAATGTCAATGTTTGGGAGTTTTTGTTTTGTTTTGTTTTGCTCATCTTAAGCCCACTAGAGCCAGAGGCTTGTCTGAAAAATAAATGTTTGGGAGATTTGTTTTATGAACTGCATTAATGCACGCCAAGTCACATCACTGTGTATCTTTCCTTTCTCCAAATGTGGCCTTGTTTTGAAGCCCCACAAAGGAGAGTTCACTGTTTGGGATAGACTCAGCATGAGGGTCTCTAGGCTCTGCCCTTATCAAACTCCAGTTGATCATAGATCAACCCTGACATCAAGTGGTGAACACACCTTAGGTATTTTGCTTGTATAGATAAGAAAAAATGAGCAGGGCAAGTAGGGATCATTGGAGTTCTGATTTTTTATTTTTTAGCATTTATTGCTTATGGGACATGAAACCGTACTTTTTCTCTTTTGCCTCATGTTTTGTATATTTTTTTGTCTTTAATGAGACTATACACAGACTGCCTGAAAATCTCCATGATTCAGAAACATAAGGCTAGCTTGTCTTGGTGGTGATTTTAGGTCTTTGAAATTGGTGATAAACCCCAGGATCTGGGCTCTGCCTGGGGAATCCTGAGATGGTATCCCCTGGGATCTTGTAATTAGAAACATTTGAGACAATAAAAGTCAACTCAGTAAAATGGACTCATGTGATTCTTTCCCTGCCTTGAGTTGACTAGTTACTCAGTCAGTTCATGTCTGGGGTACAATGTTAGCAGCCCCAGCTTTCCCAGGACTGTCTCTGTTTTGATATATGAAAACCTACCTATCCCCAGACAGAATATTCGAATAGAGGATGAGAGTCCCGGGCATCTGGCTTGTTCTTCAACCCTGAATTCTAGCTTCCACCCCCCAATGCCTTTGCCTTCAGGGAGAAAGAGACACGGGAGCCTTTTTAGTTCCAATCATATACATCCAACTCTTTGGTTGGTTGCTAGGCAACTGCAAACATGGCTGCCAGGACAGAGCTTTGTGGTGTTCACTCTTACTTAGAGCCTAGATTCCAGCAGGAAACTGCAGTCCCCTCATCACAGGTGGCCCTTACGGGATGGGTTAGTTTCCCATTGCACACTACCACACATTTAGGGACTTAACACAAGTTTATTCTCTTGGTGTCTGGCAGTTAGAAGAACTAAAATCAGTCTCACTGGGATAAATCAAGGTGTGGGCAGAAGTGGTTCCTCCTGGAGGTTGTGAGAGGAGAATCCATACCCCTGCCTTTTTCTGTTTCCAGAGGCTGCCTGCATTCCTTGGCTTGTGACCCCTTCCTTGCATTGCCCCCACCCTTTTTCCTCTGTCCTCACATCTCTAATACTCACTCTGATTTTCTGCTTCCCTCTTATAAGGGACCTTCTTATAAAGACCTCCTTATCCTCTTATAAGGATATAGGGATCTTATAAGGTGATCCCTCTTATAAGGATGATGCATGCTCACCCCCCTATTGCCAGCCCCTTAATCTAATTAACTATGCAAATTCTCTTATGCCTAATAAGGTAATGCTCACAGGGCCCATGTATGCTTGCCTGGAGAATCCCATGGACAGAGGAGCCTGGTGGGCTCCAGTGCATAGGGTTGCAAAGAGTCGGACACAACTGAAGCGACGTAGCACGCACAGGGCCCAAAGATTAGGATGGAGACATCTTTGGGAGGCTATTATTCAGCCTAAAAACATAGTATCACAAGATATTCTGGTTCTCATTAATCTGGCCCAACTTTCTTCTAAGCGTGATTATAACTGTCCAATCTTACCCGATGGCTCAGCAGTAAAGAATCTGCATGCCCATGCAGAAGACACAGGAGTCGTGGGTTAGATCCTTGGGTCCAGACGATCCCCTGGAGGAGGAAAAGGCAACCCAGTCCAGTATTCTTTCCGGAAATAATCCCATGGACAGAGGAGCCTGGCAGGCTCTAATCCATGAGGTCGCACAGAGTCGGACATGACAAGTGACTTAGCACGCATGCATAGATTAGGTTAGATTTGAAGGTTGCTGAATTGGATCTGAAGCGAACCTTAAGAGGAGAGCCAAGCCATTGTTTGACTCCTCATCTCCAGTCTTGCCTGGTTTCTGTAGGTAAGGTGCAAAGGCAAATGTGTATTCTCTGCAGTTCTGGAATTGCACCCCCCCCCCCCCATCCTGCCTCACATCGGCCAGTTGGGGAGGACTGAATGAATTTTTCATGATTAATCCAGATCTTGGGTCCCAGAGCGTGGACTCGAACCCGAGTCCAGTTCTCTGAGCTGTTTGAGGTCCTTCAAAGCCACATACAGTGGCCTCATCTCTGATGGAGGAATCAATTACCCAGCAGCCGATGGTATGTGACGGTTTGGCCACACGATGGCGCTTCACGCCTAACAATTCCGCGGCTTCTCCCAATCACGGATGATTTGATTCAAATAGAATGGTGAGGCGGTGTGTCCTTTCTCATAACAACACAGATACCGTTGCCAGAGAGCCAGGGGCTGTTGGGGAGCAGAGGTGAGCTGGGCTCGATAACCGAGGGAAAGCCTCTGTCCTACTTTATAGGATTGTGTAAGGATGAATTAATATTAAGTGGAGCCAAATGAAATTGCTGACATCCAACAGTCTTTGACCCACAAGGGCTGCAATTTCATGTGGTTCATCCTACAGGGTCTTGTGCCAAGTCACAGCGAGACTTGGTAGAAGTGAGCTGTTATTATCACAGCCAGAATGACAAGAGAACAACATGCCCTTACTATGAACACTTAGAAAATAGTAGCTTTGTCTTCTGGAATTTTTTTCCTGAAGATTCTTACTAGTAGGACACTCTGCTGTTTCCATGGACTCAAGTTCCAAATAGGAAAATACGTCTGACAGATATCTACGTATCACAGCTATGCTATCAGTCAAGCCACTTCTCGCTAAAGCCTGCCTTCAGCAAGGTTGGTTCCAGCAAGGATGAAGATCGAGGCTGACACAGTACCATTTGCTGAGTAAAGCTGAACTCTCATCTCTGGGGTTCAGGGTCCTCCTTTGCTGTCTCCTGCAGAGCCTCCCTTGCCTCTCCAAGCAGGCACTCTGCACCTGGGGCTGGTATTGAGACTTTTCTCTCTGATGTACCTACATTGTATCTCATTCCCTTTTAGCAAGTCTGGTGAATGCTAGCCGATCTTGCTAACCTAAGGAATAGAGACTGTTTTCATTTTGGAAGAGTTTTCAAAGCTGTAGCCAAAAGTGATGAGAATTTCAGATACCTGGGACAGGCCCATGGGATGGGGATAATTTTGATCATAAGAGCCTCTGGGAACCCCAGAGCCTGCCTACACCCTACTTGGTAGTCCTGTTGCATTAGGCCCTAATAGGGAGCTGGAGGTGGACTGGGGGTCCCCACCAAGAACACAGACCTATGGTCCCAGGAATTTAAAAGCAAATAAAACTAGAGAGTGGTTATATTTTATCAGAGAAAGATCCCCCCCCCCCCCAGATCCTCTTTCCTTCTCATTTCTTTCCTCAATTCACCCCAGGAACATCCCTCTGACAGCTCACCCTTCCCCGCTTGTCATGTGAGAAAGGAAAGGTTTGTGTTTCTCACTGACGTTGGACACAGACCATGGAAGACAAGAAGGTATCTTGTAGGATCTCACCACTTGTCATTGATTATGCATCAAATGAGGCTGTATGTTTACAGACGTATGTTTAAGGTGGGGAATGAGGTTTGAACCCTTCAATGCACCAAACATGGGTTAAAAGTGAAGAATCCAGACATATTCTATGGTTCAATTCATATGAAATTCAAGAGCAAGCAAAACTAATCTATAGAGAAAGCCATTAGAACAGAAGGGGTTGGGGCTGGTGGGGTGGGCTGAGAAAGGGTTGGAGGGACCTTTCTGTCGTGATGGAGACATTCTATGTTTTTAGTAGGGTGTGAGTTACATGGATGTAGATATTTGTCAGTGTTCATGGAACTGCCCACTGCACGTCAAGCGGGAAACAGTGAGAAATGACCTAAGAACCACAGTCCCTGTAGGTGTGGAGGTCCCTTATGTCATGGACGAGATGGGGAATTTCCACGTAATCCAAGTTCTCACCAGGCTGTCTACGCAGTAGAAAAACATGTAAAATGTCAGCCAATTTTCCAGACAGTTTCCAAATCCAAGGACGCTTGTCTTGGTGCTCCCGCGGCCTATGTCTTTTCAAATGTTTACAGAGTATTTACAGCAAGTAGTCCTCCGGGTGGCAGTTGTCATTAGGAAAACTGGCAGCAAAAATTAACACATACCATAAAAGAGAGATAATTGCTCCACAGTCATATACAATATTATTATCAAATGGTATTCACCAAGACAGCCAATTGGTCCCTACCAGCTCCATCTTGTTGTTCTAGGAAAGACTCTCCCCGCTTCCTTGCTACCCTGAGGATGAAGCTGCCACAGCTCGAGAAAGATACGCCATATGGTACTTAACATCAGAATCGGAATGAGCTTGTGCCTTTTGTGTGAGATGCTGAAATTTATTAGAAAATCAGAAAGCCTCATTTCCACCAAGTTCCTGAGACCTGCCATCTGCTGCATGAGAAAGAAAATGGAGGTTTTTTTTTTTTTTTTTTTAACCATTTACTTATTGTGAATGTGAGAGTGCTGTGTGTTTAAAAAAGCAGGGCTGGGGGCTGGGTTTGGGGGTGGGGGGGTTGCATAAGAACAAGCCAGAGCAAGCCCACTTGGCAGGGAAGAAAGAAGACTGTCAGCTGAATGGTGGCAAAGGCTTGGGAAGCATAATTATGGAAATCACCTATTCCAGAGCGTTCCCCGCCCCCCCCCCCCCACCACATGTTCTTTCTACATAGGAACAGCCCATGGGGAGGCCAGCTTTCAAGAATAAGCAAAGTCTCTGTTTCAGAAAGGAAGAAGAGGGAGCTTAAACAAGCACCAGCCTCTCTGAGTGTTAGGTCTCTCGGGGGAGACAGCAACGCAAGTAGGACAAGAGGAAGCAGATACGGAGCCCAGAAGGCTGAAAGGATGGGAGGCTAAGGGAGGTTTCCTAAAGGGAGATGCAGGAGGGCAGGGGGAGGCAGGATGGAGAAGAATCTGATAGGGGGCGGGGATGTGGTACCCAGTGAGAAGGAAGAGATCTTCTAACGTTGTTGGGAAGCTTACTGTCATGTTGGGGATACAAAGATAAAGCTGTTTTGCACCATCAGGAGGGCGTGTCAGATGCCTAGGGATTCATTTCAGGGGGAATGCTTGTCTCTGGCTTCACTGGGTTCACAAGATGCTGGCTTGACCACAAGTCCCTGTGACTGTCCTATCTCTCCACAGAGCCTGGCAGCCTGGAGAGCTTACCTAAGCCTTTGCTTTTATTATAATAATTTATTTTTACTCTTGCTTTTACATCAGAGCTTGGCATGTCTATCGGAACTGCTGCAGGCAACGTTCACTGATACGGTTAGTGCCCGGGTTTCTCAACTCTGATCACAACACTCAGGACATAAAAACCTTCTAGCAAATAGGCTGCGGAGCCTGAAATGGAGCAGTGGTGGGGGTGGGGGTGGGGGAGTAAAGCTGTAAGGCACCAGGGAGTTTCACGTTATGACATTATGGAGTCAAGTTCAGGTCAAGGCCGGCCTTTCCTGGACCGCATCCAAGGAGGTTTAATTAAAGAAGAACTGAAAAGACCTCTCAATAGGCAATCTCATCCCGGAGGCGGTCTCCCCGCAGGATCCCAGGGGCATCCTCAAAGTCAAGTTCAGTTTCTAGGCCCTGCTCTGGGGCCTTGGGGGGCCAGCTGAGAGTACAGCCCATACCCTGAGCCTCCACGATCCCCAGGTGCTCATCATCACGCAGGTAGGCGACCAACAGCATGTCCAAGTAAAGGACGAATGTGTGCAAAAAAGCCTCGGATGGTCCAGGAATCCTCACCTCCCACTGAAGCCAATCCAGGAACCAAAGCTTCAGTTGAGAGTCTGCATGGACTATGTTAAGAAGGAATTGACTTGATGGGAGAGGGATCAAAGTGAGTCTCTGAATTTGCAGCAAGATGAAGTGGAAAGCGATCAGAAACCCGTGTCTAGCTGTGACAGGGACATGCTGGTCGTCCGAGCCTTCTCCCATCCAGGGTGGCGATGGGCAAGAGCCCTCTCCCTGGTTCTGGACTCAAACCCGCGAGCTCCATGCGGGCAGAAAGTTGCAGCAGTGCTGAGGCCCCTCAGGGAGAAGTTGGGGGTCAGCCTTGGGGAGCAGATCCCACATGCTTGCCTGGGCTTGGAGGAGGGAAGCGGCCTTACTTTTTACTCCCTCGGCAGGTCAGGGCCCCATCATCAGCTCCCGGCCTGGGGGCTGGGGACCAGCTCTGATTTCCCTGGGGGGGCGAAGGGGGGGGCTGCCCGACCTCTACAAGATAGGCTTCCTCTGCAGATGCCTGGGATTCTCCTGAGCCGCTGCGGGCAGACAGGACGGTGGTGACCGCTCAGACCTCAAGACGCAGCGTCACCATGGTAAGCAGTTCTCAGCATCCTCTGTTCTGACTCCCCATCTCAGCTCCCATTTGTCCAGCAACTATTAATCGTAAGGCTTATTATCTAAGAAGAGCATCCATCTGACGTCTTAAATTCCTGAGCACTTGCTAAGCACCAAGTGCCTCTTACCTATTATCTTGTTTAATACTAACTACAATCCTGTGGGTCTTCTCAGGCAATGCTAGGGGTCAAGAACCTGCCTGCCAGAGCAGAAGATGTAAGAGACTGGGGTTCCATCCTCGGGTCAGGAAGACCCCCTGGAAGAGGGCATGGAAGCCCACTTCAGCATTCCTGCCTGGAGAATCCCATGGACAGAGGAACCTGGCAGGCTGAAGTCCATAGGGTCGCACAGAGTTGGACGCAACTGAAGTGACTCAGCACATATCGCAAGCATAGCCCTGTAGGAGGGGACCATTCTCATTCCTACTTTCCAGATGAAACAACTAAAGACCAGTGAGATTTGGTGAAGGGCTGGGGTCCAACAACTGATGAGTTGTGGGCTTACCAGTCAACCCTCATAGCCCAGCTCCAGAACTCTCTCTCTGTAACCCTAAATAACAATCCACTAAAAGAGTAAGCATTCTGTTTTCCAGGTTACTCTGTGAGTAAGTAGGCTGGATTCAGAGAGGTTAGGTAATTTACTCAAAGCCACACAGAGACAAAAACCACTCTGGCTCCAGGATCCAAGCTGTTTCCTCTCGGTGGTCCCCAACCTTTTGGGCACCAGGGACCGGTTTCATGGAGGACAATATTTCCACAAACTGGGAGGGGGGGAGGGTGAGTGAGGGGATGGTTTCAGGATGATTCAAGTGCGTTACATTTATTGTGCACTTTGTTTCTCTTATGATTATATCAGCTCCTCCCTCAGATCACCAGACATTAGATTTTAGAGGTTGGGGACCCCTGCTGTAAGCCATACCCCCTGTTCAGACCTGTGTTACATTGTGGGCCCCATCCCCCAGAGAAAAGATGGGAGGCATGGTGAGCAAAATTGGGTATGGACTGTACAAAGGAGGTTTAGCAAGAACGTGACACTTGTTGGACTTTAGATAAACAGAAAAAATGGCTTCTTTGCAATACTGGTGTTTCTCAGAGGCACCGTGGTTACTGCTCAAAGAGTCCCGGAAAGATTTGGATGCTGTCAGCCAATGAGAGCACCTACCCGCTTGATGATCTACTTGTTATCAGGGCTAGTTCCCAAGTGTTTGAAAACTTGGGTGCTGTTTGTCATTCACTGGGGCCCTCAAATGTATAAGGAGTGTGTCTTAGGGAGAAGCCCTGTGACCTGGTATGCGAGAAGTAAATACAAAAGACCTAACACATACCTTGGACAAATTCTGCAGAACCGGCCTTTTTTTTTTTTGGCTCTCTCTGGGGATAGAGGAAGTCCCCTGATTTCAGCGCCCAGAAGAAAAGCGTATTTATAATCAGCAGAGGGTGAGGCGGCTGCTCTCAGAACTGTACACTCGGGGTCCCCAGTGGTTAGTTACGCCACCAGCTCTGGGGAGCATTGAACCCCAAGTGCTGGACTGAACCTAAGTCTTCAAACACACTTACATTACCCTCTGTAGTTATAACCCAGCAGCAGACTCTGTGTCTGGGTTTCCTTCATCATTCACTAGGAGCCTTAGGGAGGATGTTTTCATTGGACTTGGCGCTTGTTTTGAAAGATGACTAGAATGAATAGTTGCTATCTTTGTTACTGTTGGATTGATTTTAAATGCCTTTAAAAGGCATTTAACAGAGGGCTTCCTTGGTGGCTCAGTGGTAAAGCATCTGCCTGCTAATGCAGCAGATGCGGGTTCAGTCCCTGGGTTGAGAAGATCGCCTGGAGAAGGAAATGGCAACCCACTCCAGTATTCTTACCTGGGAAATTCCATGGACAGAGGAGCCTGGCAGGCTACAGTCCATGGGGTTGCAAAAGAGTTGCACACAACTTAGCGACTAAAAACAAACAAACAAAAGGCATTTAATGATTTTCCTGAGATCAAACTTGAGGCTTCAATTCAGTACTTATTCAATAAGTGTCTATTAAGTACTTCCCATGTGCCATGGACTGTCTTGGCACTTTAGTTGAAACGTAGATAAATTATATCTATTTTTTGATTACAAGGAGCTTGTAATTTAGTAAAGGAGAGGGAAAAATAGTATATGTGTGTGTGTGTGTGTGTGTGTGTATACACAAACATTTTATGTGTTGTGTGTGTATATGGGTGCATGTGTTGATAGACAGGAAATGTGGGTGTGTGCACGTGGTATTTTAACAAGACAATCCCATGGTGACAAGGATGCAGGGGTTGAGCGATGAGCCTAGGGCCCAGGGAAGGCCAGCCAGTGGCCAGTGCAGGGAGCGAGAACAGTCTCAGAGACGAGATGGCGATGGTGCTGAGGCTTGCCACAGGTGACCGAACCAAAGGGGGACAGGACGATCGGAGATGTGTCGTCTCTTTGGGGAAGAGCAGGAGGTATTTGGGGTGAGCCTACACCCACAGCAATAGGCATAGTGAACATAAATGAAGACAGTTCTAGAGGGTGCTTTGAAGGCCAGGCCAGGCTGTGGCCTCGTGAATGGGTCACACACAGTGGGGCAGGCAGACCGAGGAGAAGATGAACAAAGGGGACCAAGCCATATCGTGGTGGGGAGCTGGAAACACAGCTGATCAGGACGCACCCTCTGTTCCCAGAAAAGAGCTGCTAGGTTTTTTGTTTTACTTTTTGGCCACATAGTGCAGCCTGTTGGTTCTTGGTTCCCTGACCAGGGATCGAACCTGTGCCCCTGGCAGTGGGAGCTTGGCATCTTAACCACTGGACCACCAGAGAAGTCCTTTGCCAGGGTTTAGAGCCCTCTTCTTCCCGGTGGTAGTGGCCTGGTTTCCTTTAAGAAATCCCCATAGATTAAAATCCAATCTTATAAGACAATTTGAGGCTGATATTTGTGAGACAGGAGAATTCTTCACTCTATGAAGATACTTTTTTTTTAACTGAGCGCCCCTGATGCTTTTAAGCAGACTCCATTCATCCACAAGCCCCCAGATTAGGAGCCCTGCGTTGTGGACAGTGGGGTGGCCTGTGTGGGGTGCATTGCTCTTCATTCAGCAGAGGCATTCATGGGTTCTCTCTTTTATTAAAAAAAAATTTTTTTTTAATCAGAAGGAAGAAGGAATCTCACAGATGAAAGAGCAAACCCAGTAGAAAATTCTTTTTGTTGATTCCAGTGTTTGCTGTGTCTTATTGGTATCTGTCTCTATTTTCCTCCACTTTTTATGTCTTCCTTGATGGCCCAGTGGGTAAAGAATCCACCTGTAATACTGGAGACATGGGTTTGATTCCCAGGTCAGGAAGATCCCCTGGAGGAAGAAATGGTAACCCACTCCAGTGTTCTTGCATGAGAAATCTCATGGACAGAGGAGCCTAGTGGGCTGTAGTCTGTGGGGTTGCAAAGAGGCGGACATGACTGACCAGTTGAACACGCATACACGCCACAAGCACACACAGCCCTGGATTCATTTTTATAAAGAAAATTGTCTTCTCACTGCTTTTTTGATGTGACAGTAGCTGGGATCCTGTCTTCATCCTTCTAAACATTCCCTTGCCACCTTTATGTTTCTGAACTCTTTGTTCTAACCAAATGATTCCCTATTTCCAAGATGATTACAATGAACATCTTCTAGTTCTAATCCGATTCAAATTTAGCTCATGTGTTTTCTCTATGGAAATGACTTTGTCCTAAGCTGGGAATGAGCACAACAAACTCATGAGAAACCGGGAGATGTCCGACTCATCTCCCCAAGAGGAGGCTATTGTGTGTTTCCTAAAGGTGACCCTTCAGATATCTCTGACTGGGAGTCCCATGCTTCATCACCCACATTTCTCCTTCATTTTATGTTCTAGTATGGATTCATCAACACCTGTCTGCAGTCACTTGTGATAGAGAAATTTGGTGAAGAGACTTTGGAAAAGCTGAAGTAAGTCTATGAAAGGAAAACTGAAAACTCTCGGGTACAGTTGGTAAGCCTCCTGTGTTTCAAAAGTTATAAGGCTTTTACTAACCTTTTGCCTAAATCAGTTGTTATTATGGTGATCAAATTCCTTGAACATACCAAGTAAATACAGAAAAAGCCTGAAAAAAAAAAAAAAAAAAGAAAAAGCCTGGTATCTTGTATCTGTCTTTAAGGAAGGTCTCTGTATCAATTCCCCAAACCAGGCTTAAAATAGGGCTCTCCTGACTGTGACTCCATGGACTGCAGCACGCCAGCCTTCCCTGTCCTTCACTATCTCCCTGTGTTTGCTCAAACTAATGTCCATTGAGCTGGTGATGCCATCCAACCATCTCATCCTCTGTCGCCCCCTTCTCCTCTTGCCCTCAGTCTTTCCCAGCATCAGAGTCTTTTCCAATGAGTTGGCTCTTTGAATCAAAGTATTGGAGCTTCAGTGTTAGCTTTTATTTCATGAATGAGTTAGCTGTTTTTAATCACAGAAGAGAAAACATCTACATTATTCGCATGGCACGTAAATGGAGCTGCTGAAATCCCACAGAAGAGGGGGTCACTTCAGTTCAGTTCAGTTCAGTCGCTCAGTCGTGTCCGACTCTGCGGCCCCATGAATCGCAGCACGCCAGGCCTCCCAGTGCATCACCAACTCCTGGAGTTTACTCAAACTCATGCCCATCAAGTCAGTGATGGCATCCAGTCATCTCATCCTCTGTCGGCCCCTTCTCCTCCTGCCCCCAATCACTCCCAGCATCAGGGTCTTTTCCAATGAGTCAACTCTTCACATCAGGTGGCCAAAGTACTGGAGTTTCAGCTTCAACATCAATCCTTCCAATGAACACCCAGGACTGATCTCCTTCAGGATGGACTGGTTGGATCTCCTTGCAGTCCAAGGGATTCTCAAGAGTCTTCTCCAACACCACAGTTCAAAAGCATTAATTTTTCAGCACTCAAGAAGGGATACCCCCTTTTAAATTTAGCCAGAATCTC